CATGTCATGTGAGTGTATTAAAGGGACATACCTGATATAAGAGGATAAACGATTTAACACAAACACAATAGTGAAGATATCGTGTATTAAAGGGACATACCTGATATAAAAGAGGACAAACGATTTAACACAAACACAATAGTTAAGATATCGTGTATTAAAGGGACATACCTGATATAAGAGGACAAACGATTTAACACAAACACAATAGTTAAGATATCGTGTATTAAAGGGACATACCTGATATAAGAGGACAAACGATTTAACACAAACACAATAGTGAAGATATCGTGTATTAAAGGGTCATACCTGATATATGAGGACAAATGATCAGACTCAGCACACAGTACACTAGCATTGTGCAAGTATGTATAATATTTTTGTATAGTAATGTAAATATGCAACCTTACCTTTTATAGTGTGCATTCAAGGACCTACTATTTGTGTGACATAAGGGATAATGTACATCCAGCCGGTTGTTATTGCAGAATAAACCCTGACTGGGTGATCATCTTTAAGCGAAGACACAACATTCAAACAAGACATGAGGACATATAACAGTATGCACAGTCTGTGAACAAGGAGCAAAGTTTAATTAGTTCTTGTTTACAGCAACATTACAGTAGTTGCCATTATAATATTACATCATAAGACACACTAACATTTTGTGTATAAAGAAACGTCCTGTGTGTAAAGAAAAGAAAAAAAAACTAAAAAGTGAGGAGGAGAACTTAATTATAACTGTTCATAAACATAAAAGTTAATACTGAACATTTTTCGGTATTATGAAAGCACATTAAATCCTTTAACAGATGTTCAACAGCAGAAGAATGTTTCTCTTGCATATAAACAAAGTAAAAAAAAAAAACCAAGAGTATTTTGTGACTGTTTGTTTTTTTTTTTGTGTTAAGCCGGGATTCCTGACGAAATCTCTTATGGTTTGGACAGAGCTACTAGCCCAAACAGGATGCTCAGCATTCTTGCACTGTTGGCATTCAATTTTAGTGGCGAGTTTACACCTTGCGATGTGGTTCCGGAAATGTCTCATTACTGCAGCGGTTTCTGTTGGAGACCATATTCGTTTTTGTTTTCTTCCTTCCCTTTCAGGAGAATTTTCGCGAATCACTACAAAAGAGGAAAACAGGTTCCTGAACCCTGGGGTGAACACCATGATGGCCAGATCTCTCTCTTCTCCCAACCAGCCACACTCTTACCAACCCTTGGGACATACCTGATATATGAGGACAAATGATCAGACTTAGCACACAGTACACCAGCACTGTGCATGTATTTATAATATATTTGTATAGTAATGTAAATATGCAACCTTACCTTTTATAGTGTGCATTCAAGGACCTACTATTTGTGTGACATAAGGGATAATGTACATCCAGCCGGTTATTGCAGAATAAACCCTGACTGGGTGATCATCTTTAAGCGAAGACACAACATTCAAACAAGACATGAGGACATATAACAGTATGCACAGTCTGTGAACAAGGAGCAAAGTTTAATTAGTTCTTGTTTACAGCAACATTACAGTAGTTGCCATTATAATATTACATCATAAGACACACTAACATTTTGTGTATAAAGAAACGTCCTGTGTGTAAAGAAAAGAAAAAAAAACTAAAAAGTGAGGAGGAGAACTTAATTATAACTGTTCATAAACATAAAAGTTAATACTGAACATTTTTCGGTATTATGAAAGCACATTAAATCCTTTAACAGATGTTCAACAGAAGAATGTTTCTCTTGCATATAAACAAAGTAAAAAAAAAAAACCAAGAGTATTTTGTGACTGTTTTTTTTTTTTTTTGTGTTAAGCCGGGATTCCTGACGAAATCTCTTATGGTTTGGACAGCCCAAACATAAGATGCTCAGCTAAACACAGCTACTAGCCCAAACAGGATGCTCAGCATTCTTGCACTGTTGGCATTCAACTTTAGTGGCGAGTTTACACCTTGCGATGTGGTTCCGGAAATGTCTCATTACTGCAGCGGTTTCTGTTGGAGACCATATTCGTTTTTGTTTTCTTCCTTCCCTTTCAGGAGAATTTTCGCGAATCACTACAAAAGAGGAAAACAGGTTCCTGAACCCTGGGGTGAACACCATGATGGCCAGATCTCTCTCTTCTCCCAACCAGCCACACTCTTACCAACCCTTGTCTTTAGTCGAGCCTTGTACAGATTACTAATCCTTTGAGTAAAAAATTATGGGCTGCTGTTTTTGTTAAACATGTTTTTGTCTGTTTGTTTTAGTAAGGGGAGCAATTTATTCATTATGTTCGGTTGTGTTGTTACCATCCTTGTAAGATTGTATTTTAAATGTTAGCCCATCCTGATGTTACATTCAACTAAAATATCAATTTGTAAATAAAACAATGAAATTAAAGATCTGACTTGTGTGTTATGGTTGCTTAGTTCCTGATATAGATTAGTAGTTAAAAACCTTTTATGCTTGTCATACCTTGAAATGAGCCTCCAAAGGCAGAGTCAACATCTGTGAATGAAAAAACAAAATATTACAAACAGTAGTATTGCTTGGTGTGACGAGAGGGGCGGGGCCGAGAGCCGTGGGAACGGAGCGAGGCCGGTGGAGTAATTACGAATGCGCAACACCTGCCCCTCTCGTCACACTTGGTTTGCATTAATTGAATCAAACCTCAATGGAGATGCTGGCTGAGTGAGGTAGATGCTCATACCATCTGAGGTGCCTGGAGGTTTCTTAACTAGCCTTCTTCATTCCTGTGGTATGAATAGTATTGTTCAGTATAAAGGTTCTGATGGCACATGCTCAAACATTTCTTAAATAGTTTTACACCTTTAAGGTGAAACTGTAAATCTCGGTTAAAAACGGTTAAAATGATTGATCTACACGACTCCCTAGTACAGTGTTTTTTCTGTATATGCTTCTGTGCTTTTACCATGTTGTTCATGCTCTTCCCTCCTGCTCCACTCTTTGTCTTTCCTACCACAATCTTTGTTTAAAAAAATAAACAGAAAAAAACTTGTTAATCCTAAATTCAAAATCTTGTGTCATTTACACAATATAATACAAAAGCCATCTAAACTGCATTTTAAACATTTTCGCACTCAGTTTAGTTTCAAAATGTGTTAGTGTTAGAAAACACTCTCTGTCTTTTACCATGCTCAACTTAGCTGGTCTAGATTTCCTCAGGGCCTGAGATTCTCCGGCTGTGTTCGCCGCCGTAGTGCACGCAACGTTAGCGGATGCTCAACTCCCTCCTGATACCTGTCTGCTACAATACGCGGACGACATCCTCGTTACTGGTGCCTCTGCGGACCAGTGTGCTGCTGCCTCCAGCATCGTCTGCAACATCCTGGCGGAAGCTGGGTTCAAGGCATCAAGAGAAAAGCTTCAGTGGGTTAACTCTCACGGAATGTGATTTGATTACTAACAATAGGGACGAAATACCAACTTCAGAAGCTGCACGCAACTATACCCATCTTAAAGCTGTAGCTGACAAGATTCCGCCTTTTGACCATGATGCCAAGATTCTTCTGTTGCTTGGCAGAGATATCATTCGTGTGCATAAGGTACGAGATCAGTCCAATGGTCATCACAATGAACCCTTTGCTCAACGCTTGGATTTAGGATGGGTTATCATTGGCAACGTCTGTCTTAATGGTACCCATAAACCCGCTGTTTGTTCTTATAATACTAACCTTCTCTGGAACGGACATCCCAGTTACCTGACGCCATGTGAGAACAACATCTACATGAAAGTACGACTGTCAGGTGAGCAAAACAAGTCTCCTGTTAGGCCAACATGCACAGATGTGGGCAAATTGATTTTCAGTCAGACGGAGAAGGATTATAAGCTTGCAGCTTCATTTGAGGATGAACTCTTTTTACAGATCATGAACCAGGAATTCTGTAAAGATGATGCAAACAGTTGGGTAGCTCCTTTACCGTTTCGCACACCAAGACAACGCTTACCCAACAACAGACATCATGCTTTGAATCGACCTATGCCGCTCAGTCGTACTCTGAAAAAGAACACAGTGATGAAGGATCATTTCATAGATTTCATGGAAAAGATGTTTGAAAACAATCATGCTGAAGTAGCACCTCCTATTGACAGAGATAAGGAATGTTGGTACTTGCCAAGTTTTGGAGTTTATCGCCCTCAAAAACCTGGTCAAATTAGAATTGTGTTTGATTCAAGTGCACGGTGTAATGGTGTGTCATTGAATGATGTTCTCCTTCGAGGTCCAGACCTCAATAATAGCTTGCTTGGGGTCCTCATGCGCTTCAGAACTGAGCCAGTTGCAGTGATGACAGACATCAAGCAGATGTTTCATAGTTTCCTTGTGAAAGAGGATCATCGTGACTACCTCTGTTTTTTGTGGTTTCGTAACCACCAACTTGACAGTGAGGTCATGGAGTATCGCATGAAAGTTCATGTATTTGGTAACTGCCCCTCACCTGCTGTGGCCATTTATGGTCTGAAGAGGACAGCTATGGAGGGGGAAAGTGAGTTTGGAACAGAAGTGAGGAAATTTGTAGAAAGACACTTATGTAGACGATGGCCTCAAATCATTCCCCATAGTAGAGGAAGCTATCAGTGTGCTGAAAGCAGCTCAAGAGATGTTGGCCCAATCCAATCTTAAATTGCATAAAATCACATCTAATAAACTAGAGGTTATGAAAGCCTTCCCTGCTGTTGATCTTGCCATGGGCTTACAGGACCTTGAAGTTGGTCAAGACCTTTCCTTTGTGCAACGGAGTCTAGGCCTCAAATGGGATCTTGTTGCAGATACACTCACTTTTCAAGTGGCTGATGCTGAGAAACCATATACCCGACGTGGTGTGTTATCTGCTATTAATAGCCTGTTTGACCCGCTTGGGTTTGCTGCTCCTGTGAGTGTTCAAGGTCGAAAAATTCTGAGAGATCTGACCAGTGATGTCTGCGATTGGGATGCACCGCTTCCTGAATACAAATTCCAGGAATGGCGGAAATGGTGTATTTCTCTACAAGATTTGAAAGAGGTGAAGATTACAAGAATGTACACAACAATTCCTTATTCACAAGCTCAGGGAAGAGAAGTTTGTATATTCTGTGATGCATCGACTCTAGCTATTGCCGCTGTTGGCTATTTAAAGGTTACAAATTCTCAAGGACAGACTGAGATTGGGTTTATCTATGGTAAAACAAAACTGGCTCCTAAACCTGATCTTACCATTCCCAGACTAGAGCTCTGTGCTGCTGTTCTCGCAGTAGAAATAGCAGAAGTAATTTCTGAAGAGCTGGACCTAGAACTGAAGAACATGAAATACTTCACTGATAGCAAGGTGGTTCTAGGTTATATATTCAATGAATCAAGACGTTTCTTTGTGTATGTCAATAACCGAGTGCAACGAATTAGACGTTCATCTCAGAAACATCAGTGGCACTATGTTCAGACTGATCTTAATCCAGCTGATTGTGGAACGAGAACCGTTTCAGCAAACCAGCTTACCACCTCTGCATGGCTGACTGGCCCAACATTTCTTTTGCATATGCAGATCTGCCAACCAGTTGTAGAGGCCTTTGAACTCCTTCATTCTGAATTGGATGCAGAATTGCGACCTGAGGTAATGGCATGTTTAACAAACCTTTCTCCATGCCTCGGAAGTGCACGGTTTGAAAGGTTTTCAAGCTGGACATCTGCTTCTAGAGCTGTAGCACGACTCTCACATATAGCTCATTCTTTCTCAAAAGTAGTTAAACAGGATTCCTGCCACGGCTGGCATATGTGCAAGGAACCTTTGAATGCAGTCCAATTGGATGACGCAAAGACTAAAATTCTTCTTGCTGTTCAAACCGAGATCTATTCAGAGGAAATGCTGTGCATCAAAAAGGGGAAACCTATTCAGAAACAAAGCGCCCTTGTCAAACTCTGTCCCTTTATTGACTCTCAAGGTCTATTTAGAGTTGGAGGACGGTTGTCAAAAGCACAACTTCCATCAAATGAAGCGCATCCAATTATAATTCCAGGTAGACACGGTTACTTCTCTGCTCATCAGACACTACCACGAAAGAGTTTGCCACCAAGGCCGCCATTTCACTGAAGGAGCTGTTAGGGCAGCTGGATTCTGGATTGTAGGTGGCAAGAGATGTATCAGTAGTCTAATACATGGCTGTGTAACATGTCGTAAGTTACGGGGTAGGTTGGAAGAACAGAGAATGGCAGACCTACCTGTTGAT